CCTGTTCAATTTCTCATTAATGCAATTATCTAATAAACCAATCACATGGCAGTTGCTTCAATGCATTTAGCCTGATCCTAGAAATGGTTGTGCGTGAAAATCCCAGTAACTGAGCAGATTGTGAAATACTCAGACCGGCCCGTCTGGCACCAACAACCATGCCACGCTCAAAATTGCTTAAATCACCTTTCTTTCCCATTCTGACATTCAGTTTGGAGTTCGGGAGATTGTCTTGACCAGGCCCACACCCCTAAATTCATTGAAGCAACTGCCATGTGATTGGTTTATTAGATAATTGCATTAATGAGAAATTGAACAGGTGTTCCTAATAATCCTTTAGGTGAGTGTATATATTACATTGTGGAGGCCAAATGTCCCCACAATGTGATACAAACCTGTTACTGTGACCTGATGGGAACATTTTTTTCAGTCCCAACATGGGAAAACTGAACTACACTAAAAGTGAATGCCATTAAAAAAACTAAAAATGCCAAAAGTCTTGTATTTTGTGTGGTTACTTATGGTTAAGGTTAGGGCTCGGTAGGGGTTAAGGTTTAGGGTTATGCTCATAGCAATAAATGGAGAGTCCCACACTGATAGGAATTCAGTGAGGGCATTAATTATTTGACCCCATGTTGAATTCCTAAGTTCACCCATTTTAAAGAAATGAGAAGTCTATAATTCCAATTGTGGGTTTATTTTAACAAAAGAAGATATTTTATGTACATGTGTGTAATCATTATGTAACAGTTACAAATCAATTTGTCATTTATCTAGGGAAATTATTTGATCCCCTACAAGCCAGCAAGAAATTAGGTCAAGTACATGTGCACTAACACAACACAAGTAGTACTTCATTAGGTATTAACAGATATAAAGCCAGCATTCTCATTTAATGGCATTACTTTGTTAAATAGTATTCTTGGGTCACTAACCTGTCTACATCGTCAATATTATCACCATGGGAAATACCAAGGAGCTAAAGTATGTGTTCCAGTGGATCAAATATTTATTTCCCTAGATAAATTTTCTTATTAGTTTAAATACTAGAACTCATGACCATAGGTGGAAATTTTAAACAGAATTTGAGAAAACACTTATTTACACAGTGTGTAGTTAGAGTATGGAATAGCCTGCCTGTTAGTGTAGCGCAAGCTAAAACTCTGGGTTCCATTAAATCAGAGCTAGATAAGATTTTAACAACTCTGAGCTATTAGTTAAGTTCTCCCCAAACGAGCTTGATGGACCGAATGGCCTCCTCTCATTTGTAAATTTCTTATGTTCTTATGTTCTTTACACAAATCGGTCTGTAACTGTTACATGATGATTTTTTTTCTTGCTTGTTTTGTTGATAATTTATATTTTACTGTTAAAATAAACCTACTAGTGAAATTATAGACTTGTCATTTATAGCATGGGGTCAAATAATTCTTTGCCTTACTGTATATAAACTCTGTGTGTGTGTGTGTGTGTGTGTGTGTGTGTGTGTGTGTGTGTGTTTCATGGAGAGCACGAAGTGAATAGGCAGAAATAGAATTTCCCCGCGGTGATGAATGAAGTACCACTATAACACTATGTTATTCAGTCCTCCGCTTATATACCGCGAAGCTGCAGTATACGATGCGGCCACTTGGCGGCATATGGCATCGTACAAGAAGGTTAAGTAGGAAATCCTAAAGTGTTTCACTTTAATTGTAGAGCATCTACAGATCCAGAGAATACCACCCCGTAATTCTCCGTCATTTCTTCTACTATTCGGCTGTAAAGCGTCTCTGGACATGCACCTTTCCGGTTATATAAGTCTAAATACCAAAAGTATAAAAAGCAGGGCACTTTATTGTCAATATTGTATTTAGAAATACGTCACTTGCATATAAGTATTTGTTCATAACCCAAAAACTAAATTAGAAATGCGTTTTGTAAGACGAATGTGATAAATGACACACAAAACCAGCACCCCATTCCAGCTCGCCGTTTCCTGGAGTTGAGCTTACTGGGAAATCCGGTGAAGCGCTGCGCTTCAGTCACATAGTTTGCGATTTCTGACATCGCTGTTACTCACTCTTCATCTGCAGGAACCTTTCCTGCTGGTATCATACATGCCAATATACTACTACCTTTATCCCTGCATGAACTTTAAATGAAAAGCCGAACACTGATTTCAAACTTCTGGAAACAACTGGACCATAAAATATGGACGGATTGACAAACAGTCTGGGTAAGTCAATACACGTTATTCGTCTTTAAGTAGCGTTCACTCTTGCATGTTAAAGAAATGCATCATCTGCAAGCTCCTCGAGAAACGCGCGTTGGCGTGTTGTTCAGTTAGGATAACTATTTACAGTAGTCGGCTGCCGAAAGTTAAGGAATGGGCGATTCAGTGGCAGTAAAAGCAAAAACAAATAGCAGGAGTTCTGAGTGTGTATACTTTGTGATTGTCACACGCTTTTATTCTTTTATTAACTGATAAAACGTTTACACATTAATCAAAACGAAGTACAGTATAGTGCAGTGTAAATTAAGTATCAAAATAATACATTTTGTATTATCCAACATTATTAAAATGCACGTAGGCCTACGTTTATGTATTTATTTTCAATCTATGCCATTACCGCAGTGTAATATTAAATATTAATTGTGTAATATCGCATGTTACTCACTCTCCGATTAATATACTATAATATTCAATTAAAGGATCTATGCGAATGCACTGATATGAGTTGTATTAAATGACTGCTGAGAAAAAAAGTGTAACATTCCACTATTCTTAAAACTAGTTGGTATTAATGTGTCATAATATGAAAAGAACAAACCCACATGAATTTACCTGCTTAGCAAAGCCTATTAAGTAGTACAGTCTGCGTATTACTAATTCCAGACTAACCGTCATTTAAGTAAATCTTGTGAAAGCTTAGCTGGTAATTTAAAACACCCTCGCTACACAGGACCTCTTAGACCTACCCATCTTTGTACGGTACCAGTGGCATGCATTGCGTGAATGACTGCAGACTATTTAATTGTCCCAGATGGTGTGTACAAGCTGAAAAAAGACAAAAAGGAAAATTTTGGCCGATAAGGCATGTGAAACACTTCTAGATCAAACAAGGCTGATTCCAGACGAAGTTTAAAATCTAAATAAATTGGCTATTTTAAAAAATCAAGCACACATGGGGAACAACAGAACCACGTAATATTTAACTGCATGCCTATCTAAAACTATTTTTTTCTTATTTTATGATGAAAGCAACGATAAATAACACAACACATGCATCCATGTGTAGTGGGGGGAACCAAAAATATTTTTCCCAGAGTGAAGGAAAGAGGTCAGCATTCGTTGTGGGAATAAAGCTTGGCTGTGTGGGTCAGTATTTATCCAATTGCGTGGGGCTCTTTTTTTCGGTACAAGCGGGGGAAGTGTCCCAAAATATAACGCACTTCAAAGAATACTAGATGTTAACAAAGTGACCGCCCTTGAATCTGCACCGCCTGCGCTTCACGGGTAAGCCCACATACCTTCAGTTTGCGAGATATTAAATCAGTGGAGCTGACAGCTGTCATCTAATGCAGGACTGGCCAATCCTACAGGCGACACAGGCGGCCGCCTAGGGCCTCAACTTCTGAGGGGGTGCCGGCACTGATGCTCCCCTAGGGCGCCACATTGGCTAGGACCAGTACTGCTTGTGGTATTTAGCACCAAGACAATAGCAGCAGATCCATTAAGTCCTGTAAGTTGTGAGGTGGGGCCTCCATGGAACCATCACATCCCACAGATGCTCCATCGGATTGAGATCTAGGGAATTCGGAGGCCAAGTCAACACCTGGAACTCTTTTTTATGCTCCTCAAACCATTCCTGAACAATTTTTGTTGCAGGGCGCATTATCCTGCTGAAAGAGACCACTTAGATAGGGGAATACCTTTGGCATGAAGGGTTGTACTTGGTCTGTAGCAGTGTTTAGGTAGGTCATATGTGTCAAAGTAACATTCACATGAATGCCAGGACCAAGGACTTCCCAGCAAAACATTGCCTAGAGCATCACACTGCCTTCGCTGGCTTGACTTTTCGCCATGGTGCATCCTGCTGCACATGCACTCCGCCATCCACATGATGTAACAGGAAACGTGACTCATTAGACCGGGCCACCTTCTTCCATTGCTCCATGGTCCAGTTCTGATGCTCAACCACCTATTGTAGGCACTTTTGACGTTGGACAGGAGGCAGCATGGGCATTTTTACCAGTCTCCGGCTACGCAACCCCATATGCAGCAAGCTGTGACGCACTGTGTGTTCTGACACCTTTCTATCATAGCCAGCATTAACTTTTTCAGCAATTTGTGTGATAGTAGCTCTCCTGGGAGATCAGTGACTTGTTCTCAATCTCAATTTTGGAACCCATTGGTTGGTTAAACAGCGCAGGGATTGCTGGGATTGCTGCGAGGATTGCTGGGATTGCTGCGAGG